CTATTGTCTAAGTAGTTCGAAAGAAGTTTGGTGGTGATGAGAGGAAGATTAAAGTTGTTGCATAGTTTGAATTTTAAGCCGTCATGCCAAACAGTGTCAAAGGCCTTCTCAACGTCCTTAGTGATGAGTGCAGTCTTAAGTCTTTGGTGCTGATTGATACTGAGGTAGTTAGTCATGATGTTTAAGGCGTCGTGAGTGGACCGGTGAGGCCGAAATCCAAACTGTTTGTTAGTGAGTAAGTCATTGTGTTCAAGGTGCGTTCTAAGTCTCTGGTTGATCAGCCTTTCAAAGACTTTGCCAAGTGTCTCTAGAAGGCTGATGGGTCTATAGTTCTTTGGGTCAGTGTGGGGTTTCCCAGGTTTTGGAATAAGAACGGCTGTGGCAGACTTAAAGTTGAGTGGAAAGTACCCAGAGGCAAGGGAGGCGTTGAATAGGTTAGTGATAGCAGTAATGATAGAAGCAGGGAGTTGTCTAAGAAGGATATGTCCAATGCCAGACGCACCAGGGGCTCTACGACGAGTGCCCATGAGAGCTGTCTTGACATCAGCTAGAGTTAGGGGAGTCTGTAGTTCAGTGTTTGAATTGAGATTTTCAAGGTGAATGAGGTCGTCTGGTGTAGTTGCTTGTCTATTTTGGTGTATCCAGTCTTCGACTATTTCAATGTTGGGGCGTGCAAATGGTTCAGGAGGATGTGGGTGAAAGATTTGTTCCCAGTGGTGTTTAAAAATGTTGAGAACTGCTTCAGGATCAGTGATTTTGTTGTTATTATGTAGAAGGTATTTAAACGGTGTGTGAGTTGATCCTTGTAATCGTTTGATTCGTTTCCAGAATTCTTGAGGTGTCAGTTTTCTGTATTGTTCTGCTTGTTCTATAAGGTGTTTCCAATGTTTTGTGTGGTCTTCATCTAGGCTGTTAAGGATATGGTTTTTTAATGCTGTTAGGTCCCATAGTATTTGTCCATGACGATGTATGTTTTGTAAGAATCTAGTGTGATAGCAAGCTAAGAGGCGTTTGGAGCGAATGGAGGGGGTGAAAGTGAAATGTGGTTTGTGTGCTGTTTTAGGGATGGAGATGTTTGCTGCATGAATGATGGTGTCTTGTATGTTGCGTGCTTGTGTGTCGATGTCAGTGTGATGTTTGTCATTGTATTCATAAGTGAGATCAGTGTCATCAATGTGTTGTTTGAACATGTCCCAGTTTGCCCTATGGTATGAGAATTGAGGAGTGCTGGGGATGAGAATAGGATTTGTGGAGACTGTGAGAATTAAGGGAATATGATCAGAGCCCGTAATGGGCCCTGGTGAAATGAAGTGTTGCAAGTTGCTGCCGTGTCTGTTGGTGAATATGAGATCAGGCCGGCCAGAACCTGTATGTGTGAAACAAGTGGGGAAATCAGGGCCAAGAAAGAATAGATGTTTTTGGGTGTATATTTGGTGAAGCTGTCTGCCATGCTGATTTGTGGTATTGTGGTGGAATGTAGGGTGTTGTGCATTGAGGTCTGCAAGCAGAAAAACAGGCAAGTGAGAGTTGTTGAAGAGAGTTATGAAATCTTGCATGGGAATGTCGGTGTTAGGACGGGTGTAGGTTGTGCAGATGATGAGAGACCCCATTTGTGTATGAACTTTAATGGCTAGGAAATGTTTGTGAAGCCAATGAGTGTGTAAGAGTTCGTGTTTGTATGAAGAACGGATGAGTATTGCAACTCCTTCATGTGCTTCATCTGGTGACTGGTAAGAGGTGTAGCCATAATGTTTGATTTTATATGAGTTCGTGATATATGTGCTATTTAATAATAGCACATCAGGTCTCTCGATCTCAATAAAATCTGACACCATGTGTCTAATGTTGAAATATGCCCGCACATTAAACTGTATGATCTTTATGAATTTTTAGGTTTTGATGGGGTGCTGGTGGGGTTTTGTGCATGTAAAAGAGCATGAGGGTTGCGTGATTCAATGAGTTGGGCAGTTATTGAGGAGGGTGCATCTTGGAGGATGGTGGTAGGAATTGTAGGATATTTACAGCGGGAGGTGGGAGTAAGACAACGGGTTGCTGAACGGGCTCGGGACGAGACAAGATGAGTTACAGAAGAAATGACTGAAGTTGTTGGGGGATGGAGGGAGACAGAAGGCTTGTTGACAGGGACCGGGTGAGAGGTATCAGAGGTTGTGGTGTTAGTAGTCAGATTGGAAGTGGAGAGGACAATGTTGGGAGAAGAGGTTGAAAGTGCCTTTGACATGGATGCTTCAGTTTGGGATAGTCCAGGATGTGCTGTTTGGTCAGTGGCACCGTTTTCTGTGGCAGTCAGGAGTGGGTTGGTAGGAGATTGTGGGGGAACTGTAGTATTTTCTTCAGCTGAAGTCATGGTGTTTTGTGGAGTGAGGACTGTAGGAGAGAATGGAGCAGAGCGCAATAGTTGAGTAGGAGGAACAGAGATACTAGGAAGGCCGTTATGAGTGAGAAAGATTGGAAGATAGTCAGCAAAGTCACGGCCATCGTCCTTGGCCTTCAAGTAAGCAGCTTGTACACAGGCAGTGACTCGTTCATATGCAAGGTTCTGAAGAGGAGAATAAGGTGGAGGTGGTGGGTGAGGGAAGAGAGGTGGAGAGGACTGAGTTTGTTGTGCAGTATTATGATGATGTTGCTGGTGAGGTGAAGCATTAAGGACACTGGCATAGGACATTGAGGTGGCTGATGCTGTTTGGTGATGAGATAGGTTATGGGAGGTTGAAGAAGAGGAATGAGGGTGTGCTTGAGTGCGAGGTTGGTTATTGCGAAGAGATTTTAGGGTTTGCTTTCTCAAAGGGCAAGATTTGTCAACTGCTGAATGACCTCCTTGGCAATTGATGCATTTTAAAGTGTTGGCAGAGCACTGAGTGTAAAAATGGCCTTCTGCAGAACATTTTGAACAAATTTGTGGGCTTTTACATTTCCGGGTTTCATGACTGTATTTGTAGCATTTAAAGCATTGCAGCAAAGGAAGATAGTCAACTGGACTAATGAAATAGGGAGGAGTGCTGGTGTTGAGGATTTTAATTCCATGGTGCAAGAGTTTTTGAGCTTCTGTAGGGGAGGAACATTGGATCTTGAGGTGTTTTGTATTGGGCACTGGGTATATCTCCATTACAGTAATAGCATTCCTGTGAGAGATGTCTTGAGAGAGATTGATAGTAGTAGGTGCTGAAAGGACAGAGCTGTCGACATTTCTTACAAGTACAGAGCATTTAGTTTTTTGTTCAATAGTGAGAACAGGAGTAAGTGAAGCTTGTGTGAGTTTTCTGAAAGTAGGTTCCTTGAAACAGGCAAAAAGGTCGTCTTCAGAGGCAATGAGAAATTTGATGGTGTTTGTGTTGGCATGTTTTATATGGTTAGTGGCTGGTGTGCCAGTGGCATTGTAAAAGGTAGTGATGCAGTCAACTGTGTCTATGGGTGTATTCCCAGTGTAGGTCATCCGTAGACAGTGAGCCATTGTGACTCACTGTCTACTGACAGTCCCGTGTCTTGTGCCAATCACTGCGATTCCATTAGCTCAGTGGGGGGGGTCAGTGTGCTCGTGAGCTGTGGGTTGGAGCTCGGTTGTCAGAGGCGTAATTCCGGGTTCCTAGCAGGCTAATTGAACCCGGTTCGGCACAAATACAAAGTATTCGTGAGTCCTGAAGGTGTTACTCAAGGGCAACCCCCACTGCTAGTTGACTCGCACTATCACGAGGTTCTAGCAGTGGATCGGCATAGCAAACAAGCCAGGCAGGGAGACACAGGGCGCAAGCACGTGCTGTGACCCCACCTGGGAGGAAAGGACGAATACCCCACTGCACTTTCACCGCACAGGGGGTAGGTCCCGGCCTGAAGAGGAAGAAATGTTTAGCAGAGGAGAGAAAGAGTGCTATACACGGCAATACACATTACGTAAGTTAGGCCATCCAGCTGTCCCTGGTTTTATTCAGGGTGGCAGTACGGGTTGGCCCACTAGGGTAATGTATCTTTGCACGTTATATCACTGATAGAGCTGTAACATAAACCGTGAACACGCCGAGAGGAAGAGCCGTCGTTGCCTGAAAAAGAGGTGTGTGCCAGTTTGCCTGGGTGTTGCCTTGGATGGAAGATGGCTGTGATAAGGATGTGGCCCCAGGTAGGGTTACCACGAGAGTATGCTCGTCTGGGCCGACCAAGCGGCCCTGACCTTGCAAGTTAGCAACAGGTGCTACTAGCGCTCTGCATCTCTGGCTGTTGTTAAATCGATGCTGTTGGATCACTGTGGTGGTTGTGATGTCAGATGCCTCAAAACGGTGGTCCCATGTAACTGCAATAATGCAGAGGCAGGTGGTTGCAGGTGCGGGGGCGCTCAAACAGCGTATCGCCTAGATCTCACTGCGAGCGCGACGTGCTGCTGCTTCCGTTGCCAATGAAAAGATGAAAAGGCCGGCCCCAGTCTCCCAGCCTCTCTTATATACCCGAGCAGGCCCTTTAAATTATTTGAATTGTTGCACTTCGGCCAATGGCAGGCACGATCGCTGCTGCTCAAACATATTCTGGTTCACAAGTATTATATATATATATATATATATATATATATATATATATATATATATATATATATATATATATATATATATATATATATATATATATATATATATATATATATATATATTCATGAAACACATTAAAACCTTGATCATTTATTCATTCATTACGTCTAGTGAAGAATTGCTTTTGTTCATTTGTATGATTAAAAATGGATAGAATATGAATTCCTCGCTTAAAGTAAAATATAAAATATATATTGGATTTATATGATTGGTTAATATTCCAAGTGATGCTGAATATCCCCTATAATTTTGTTTTGTTTGTTTGTTATGTACACATTCCAAATGAAATCAATATAAATGTTATTATTAATGTTTGAAAGTTGATTGTCTACTTGAATCTCTCTATTAAAGTGTGTGTGGCTCCGGATGGAGCCTGGTTATGGTATTTGTCGCGGTGGGTGGCAGAAGTGCTTACTTCTTCTCTGTCTTCTTTGGCAAAAGAACTGCCTGAATGTTTGGAAGAACACCTCCCTGTGCAATGGTTACGCCAGACAGAAGTTTGTTGAGTTCTTCGTCGTTGCGGATGGCCAACTGCAAGTGACGTGGGATGATACGGGTCTTCTTGTTGTCACGTGCGGCGTTACCGGCGAGCTCGAGAACTTCGGCAGCGAGGTATTCCATGACGGCTGCCAGGTAGACAGGAGCGCCAGCACCGACGCGTTCGGCGTAGTTGCCCTTACGCAGCAGACGGTGAATTCTGCCCACGGGGAACTGAAGTCCGGCCCTGCTGGAGCGAGACTTTGACTTGCCCTTCACTTTGCCTCCCTTGCCGCGTCCTGACATTGCTGCTGCTGTTGTGGGTTTGTGGTGTTTTAATGCCGGCCCGCAGATCGAGCTTCGTGTTATATACCCCGCTCAGGATCAAGGGAGTCCGCCACTGACCAATCAGCGCGCTCCGCCACGCGACCCGCTCTGAGCTGAGTCGCGAGCGGGATATAAAAGGAAAGCTCGACTCGCGCAAAAGTTCATTATTGTATCGCAACGCCAGCCAGCACGAGCATCATCATGCCACCCAAGGCATCTGGAAAGGCTGCCAAGAAGGCCGGAAAGGCCCAGAAGGCCATTGCCAAGGGCGATAAGAAAAAGAAGCGCAGGAGGAAGGAGAGCTACAGCATCTACATCTACAAAGTGCTGAAGCAGGTCCACCCCGACACTGGTATCTCTTCCAAAGCCATGTCGATCATGAACTCGTTCGTGAACGACATCTTCGAGCGCATCGCCGCCGAGGCTTCTCGCCTGGCCCACTACAACAAGCGTTCCACCATTACCAGTCGGGAGATCCAGACGGCTGTAAGGCTCCTGTTGCCCGGAGAACTGGCCAAGCACGCCGTCTCTGAGGGCACTAAGGCCGTCACCAAGTACACCTCCTCCAAGTAAACGGCTTACTTACTGCCCTGTGGTGGTGGCTTGGCCTCAAACCAACAAACTCGGCTCCATTGGAGCCACACTTTAATTTCTAAAGAGATTGTGAGTGTTAGACACCAATACTATTATAACAAAAACCTCTGTCACTGAAAGCAAATAGCTATAAAATGAGAATATTTATGAAACTGTCTGTGTGTGTGTCTCTCTCTCAGTGTCTGTCTGTCTGTCTGTCTGTCTGTCTGTCTGTCTGTCTGTCTGTCTTGTCTGTCTGTCTGTCTGTCTGTCTGTCTGTCTGTCTGTCTGTCTGTCTGTCTGTCTCTCTCTCTCTCTCTCTCTCTCTCTCTCTCTCTCTCTCTCTCTCTCTCTCTCTCTCTCTCTCTCTCTCTCTCTCTCTCTCTCTCTCTCTCTCTCTCAACACATATAAGCACTCGGTATCTTTTTTCTAGAGATTAGAGATTCATTGTTATGTTCCACATTAGGATTACTATGCAGGCCACCCTCTTAGGTTTGAAAATGTCAAGAAAACGGTTAATTTAAAATGTCATCTCCTAACTTAACAGATTAAGCCAGAGGACCGAAAACAGAATAAAACAGGACTGGACAGTATGTCACTTATACAAGCTGCTTTTATTTCTAGTACAGTATGACAATTTTTATTTTTGGGGGGGGTGATCCTTGACAGTGCATAAGAGCGAAAAGCGACGGCGTTTTGTTTGTAAGAGAACAGGTTGTACTACAAATGACTTGATTTATTGATATCACGTGTATGTATGACACCTAAATTAGTGTATTTATTTATTTTTTTTTAATTTTTTATTTATTTATTATATGTGTAGATGAAGGTTAATTCATATGACTGATGCTAGGAATGTCTGAAATCTCCTTAGAAGGATATTTTGGCCCTGAGAAGGGCCGAGTTTGGTGTATACTAGGGTGGTCGATTTAGCTTATGCACGCTCTCCACGGATACGGCGAGCAAGCTGAATGTCCTTTGGCATGATGGTGACACGCTTGGCGTGGATGGCACAGAGGTTAGTGTCCTCGAAGAGACCGACCAGGTAAGCCTCGGATGCCTCCTGTAAAGCCATGACGGCAGACGACTGGAAGCGAAGATCTGTCTTGAAGTCCTGGGCAATCTCGCGCACCAGACGCTGGAAGGGAAGTTTCCTGATGAGCAACTCGGTGCTCTTCTGGTAACGACGGATCTCACGCAGGGCGACCGTTCCGGGCCTGTAACGGTGAGGCTTCTTCACACCCCCTGTGGCAGGAGCAGACTTGCGTGCTGCCTTGGTGGCCAGCTGCTTACGAGGAGCCTTGCCTCCCGTGGACTTGCGAGCAGTCTGCTTGGTGCGAGCCATGGTGAACAACTGTGGTTTGTGATGGCCGGATTACGGATTAAAAAGTCCATAGAGCTGGCAAGCAGGGGATGGAAGAACGGGGCGAGGTTGCAGAAATCTTGAGCAAGGATCTGGAGATGAGGTGAAGAGGGGAGATGAAAGATCGGTGGCCCAACCACCGTGGATTTGAGCTTGATCAGATGAAAGTAGAATTGAGTGGGGTGTCATTTGCAATACACACAGAGGCCGGGAACGCAAGCAGCTGGCAGTGGAGGTTTGATGTCAGATGATGTTAAGTCAGTTCGTTAGGAGTCTTCTTTCTTGTTGATTTCACCAAACTTTGATCGTTGTTCTTTTTTTTGGGCTTGTCGGTCTTGGTGGTCACGGTTCGTGTTGATGCTTGAAGGTGATCTTTCCTTGGGGGTGATGGTGTACCGACAGATACGTCCTCATCCGATTCATCAGATGAGTGAGGAGCAGGGGTGTTGACACGCTGGGGTAGATTTCTTGAAGGTTGGGTTCTTGAGGGTTGATGTCTTGAAGGTAGAGTTCTCGGAGGGTGTGTAACAGCGGTAGGTACTGCAGCAGAAGGTGCTGCATAGTCGGTACCCTCTATAGGGTCACACCAAGGGTCGATAGCAGCGAAATTCGCCACTAAGACGGGTGAAGGGACAGCAGCAGCTGGAGAAGTGTGTGGAGCAGGAGCTGACAGTATGTCAGAAAGCGTGGCTGCGTTCACAGTGATGTCATGGTTGGTAACGGGAACTGATGCAGAAGTGGGGGTCACATGAGGCAGAGTCTTGTGAGCTGTAGGTACCCGAACAGGATCTGAGGGCTGCATTGCAGTGGCGGAATCGTCGTCGTCGGATGTAGAGTCAGCATCCTCCTCTACAGGGTCAGTTGTTGGAGATGAACGCGGAGCGTTGAAAACTTCCTCAGGAACAATGAAGGTAGGGAGACCGTTCGCCTTGTACAGAATTTTCAGAAGCCTCACGAATTCTCGGGGGTTATTGCCAGCAGTAATTCTGGCTGTTGATATCAGAGCTTTTACTGTGCTCTGCCCAATTAGCTTTGTCTTTGGTTGGGCCGGTGGCGATGGCTGGCTCGACGAATCGCTGGTTGGCGTTTGGGAGCTGGCTCCCCATTGGCTGGTAGTAGCAGTGGGACGTCCTCCCGGGAGCTCCGGGAAGATGGCGGCTTGGGCGTTGAAACCTGAAGTAGAGGTGGTCGCTGATTGGCTTGTTGCTTCAGAGGTACTGGCTCCGGTTGAAGATGTGGATTTCTCCATGTTTTTAATAGCGTTTTGTCTGTGAGGACAATGTATGGAGATTGCTGGATGATCGCCTTTGCACAGCAAGCAGCATAGTGTTTCAGACTTGCAGATGGAGTAATGGTGGTCAGCTGAGCAGAGGCTACACTTCTGAATCCGCTGGGTACATTTGCTGGTGGAGTGGGTGTACTCGTAGCATCGGAGGCACTGGTTGACGATGTGAAAACGTTCCATCTTCACACGGAAAGGCGGAATGTGAATTCCAAAGCTGTAAACTCCATTTCTGGTAGCCATAGTAGCCGAAGCTACCGTCTCGAAGGTCAGCTTCAGGGAGCGACTTGAATTGAAGAATTGAGCTTGGTGAAGCCGTAGGTCCGGGTTTGATGCCTTGAAGTCGTGCATGAACGCACTATCATCAGCGTCATCTTGTTCCACGATCCATTGACTGAGATCGTGAATAACGACAGAGTGTTCAGCCAGGTACTGGCGTGGGAAGTTGAGACGAAGGTGTTGGTTGGAGAAGTTAGCGCTGTAAGACAGAAGTTTGTCGACTTCCTCCTCACTATAAAAGAAGAAAAGGATGTCCGTGCCTTCCTGCTTGATGTCGTTGGGTGTTACTCCTGCAACGTCTTTAAAGAGCTTCAGGAGAGATGTCTTGGAGAATGGATGTTCGTTGAGGGGCGTACCCCTGATCTTGAAGCGTTTGTGACGCATAATGAGCTTCCTGGAGGCCGATGTATCTCTCTCAAAGACTACACGTCACTGAAGATGGCCTCCCGTCTCTACCCGGCATAAAATACCAAGTTAGGAGTGGGGTCTGACCATCTAGAGAGACGCAAGTCTGCTGCCAATTGTTTATCCACCCTGCAGTACTGGGTGCGAGAGAGAAGAGCTGGAGCAACGCGAGCACGTCCGACCGCGACGGTTGCTAGTTGCTGAGTCCTCGTGATGTGATCTGTGATGATCTGTGATGGCCGGCGCCGAAAAATTTTTGCTTATATACGCCGTCTCGAGGCGCTTGCTCGAGCGCCATTGGCTGCTCGACTCGCCTACGTCACCCCGTTGCCCCTCCCCTCCTTCCTCTGGCTGCAGCCAACAGGCGGCTCACCTCAATCACTATTATTGCTGATTTTGCTCTATTTTTTGGATTTGTGCAAAAGTCATTTCACAGGGACGTGAAACAGACGAGTAGGCAACTGCAGTTTTGAAAGCGTTGTGAGAAAGCCATGTCTACTCGACCACAAGCGTAAAGTAAGGGCAGGCAGGAGTTGCAATGCTACTAGTACGTCCGCTTGATGGGATATAGTCGGGAAATCGTGCGGGCATTCGTCAATTCGATTCACACAACTTCAACAC